GGTAACAAGAGCGAAACTCCGTCTCAAAAAAAAAAAAAAAAATAGTAATAATAATAACAAATCTCTTTCTCTACTAAAGTCAACCAGGCTCCTTGGAGAAATGACGATTCTAGGGCCGGGGTGAGAACAATACCAGGTGAGCCCGTCGCGTTAGCTGGGCCAGCAAGTCTGTGCTCCAGGAATGGACTGGGCGCCGGCCGAGGGCAGGCTTACACACTTGGAAAGGCAGAGTAAGAGACATGGTAAACGATCCGAACCCCTACAAAAACAAGAGCCCACAAGGCCACACTGAGGGACCAACGGCAAAGGAGGGGAAGCTCTTCCCGGTACAAACCCAATCCGTGATCATCAGAGGAGGGATGGGATTAGAAGCCACCATCTGGCAACCAGCGCAACAATCCTAATAATCACAACCGAGTCACCAGTGGACACTATAGCTACCAAGTCAAAGCTTAAGAGATAGCAGCTATGGAGTCTCAAGACAGATCCAGTCCTAGGAGGCACGTATCAATTACAGAGGGAAAGCTACGTGTGCACGAAGGGTAAAAGACAAACGCGTCCTGCGAGGAGACGGGGATGCGGGGAGGGAGCAGCAGCATCCTCCCGAGACCTGAGGACTTGTACTTCAGTCTGAGACCTTGGTGCAGGGATGGGCAAATAAACAAATGCAAAATAATAAGGGCCTCGAAGACCAGGTGCGGTGGCTCACGCCTGTAATTCCAGCACTTTGGGAGGCCAAGGCGGGCGGATCATGAGGTCAGGAGTTCAAGACCAGCCTAAGATGGAGAAACCCCTACTAAAGATACAAAATTAGCCAGGCGTCATGGCGAATGTCTGTTATCCTAGCTATTCAGGAGGCTGAGGACGGAGAATCGCTTTAACCCAGGAGGCAGAGGTTGCGGTGAGCTGAGATCACGCCACTGTACTCTATCCTGGGCAATAAGAGTGAAACTCTGTCTCAAAAAAAAGAAGAAAAGAAAAAAGAATAAGGGCCTTGAACCAGGTCTAGCATATATAGGCCAGGCACGGTAGCTCACGCCTGTAATCCCAGCACTTTTTGGGAGGCTAAGGCGGGAGAATCACCCGAGGTCAAAAGTTTAAGACCAGCCTTGCCAACAAGGAGAAACCCTACTAAATACAAAAATCAGCTTCATGTGGTGGGGGGTGCTGGTAGTGCCAGCTACTTGGGAGGCTACAGCAGGAGAATCGCTTCAATTTGGGAGACGGAGGCTTCAATGAGCCGAGACTGCACCACTGCACTGCAGCCTGAGTGACCGGGCAAGACTGTCTCAAAAAAACAAAAACAGGTCTAGCACACGTACAGTTCTGACCCACACAGGTGGTACCATGAATTGTTGGGGAAGGAAGCGTATTCAGTCTATGATACCATGCCGGGGAACAGAGAAACTGGATTTTGATTCCGTATCAGTTGACAACGATAATTAGTAACACTGACACAGCCCTCACTGTGGTGCTGGAGGCGGCCTCAGCACCCTGCAGAGCAGTGAGTCCCCAAAACCGCCCTCTGCGACAGGCGAGGTCACCACCCACGTGAGACATACAAAGTGAAGAGATGGCTTCATAGCAGCAGTGTCGGGATTTGAACCCAGGCGGCCTGCTCTTACGTGAAACTTAATATGTGTAAAACTCTATGATCAGGAAAATATGTAAGAGAATGTCCTCCTGACCCTTTTTACGGTAGGACAAGAATATCTCCAACCAAACCCCAAAAGCATGACCCATAAAAAATAAAACAGTCAGACTGACTAAATTGGCTAAATGAAGAATTTTGTTTCACCAAAGTAAACCACAAATGGGCCAGGCGCAGTGGCTCACACCTGTAATCCCAGCACCTTTGGAGGCCAAGGTGGGTGGATCACTTGAGGTCAGGAGTTCAAGACCAGCCTAACCAACATGGAGAAACCTTGTCTCTACTAAAAATATAAAAATTTTATTGGCCGGGTGCAGTGGCTCACCCCTGTAATCCCAGCACTTTGGGAGGCCGAGGCGGGCAGATCACGAGGTCAGGAGATTGAGACCATCCTGGCCAACATGGTGAAACCCTGTCTCTACTAAAAATACAAAAATTAGCTGGGCATGGTGGCGTGAGCCTGTAGTCCCAGCTACTCGGGAGGCTGAGGCAGGAGAATTGCTTGAAGCTGGGAGGAAGAGGTTGCAGTGAGCCGAGATTGTGCCACTGCACTCCAGCTTGGCGCCTGGCGACAGAGTGAGACTCTGTCGCCAAAAAAAAAAAAAAAAAAAAAAAAAAAAATTGAGTGTGGTGGTGTGTACCTGTAATCCCACCTGCTTAGGTGGCTGCGGCAGAGAACTGCTTGAACCCTGGAGTCTGAGGTTGCAGTGAGCTGAGATTGCACCACTGCACACCAGCCTGGGTGACAAAGAGACTGTCTCAAAAAAAAGAAAAAAAGGGCATGCCTGTAATCCCAGCACTTTGGAACTTAGGCAGATCACCTGAGGTTGGGAGTTTGAGACCAGCCTGCCCAACATGGCAAAAATCCGTCTCTATTCAAAATGCAAAAAATTAGCCAAGTGTGGTAGCAGGCTCCTGTAATCCCAGCCACTTGGGAGGCTGAGGCAGGAGGATCACTTGAACCCAGGATGTGGAGGTTGCAGTGAGCCGAGATCTCACCACTGCACTCCAGCCTGGGCGACAAGAGGGAGACACTCTCAAAAAAAAAAAAAAAAAAAGAAGAGGAAGGTGCATGTTCCTTCCCTGCTACCCTGTAAGTCACTCCACACTTACCAGCTCAAAACAAGTGCTTTTGATCTTGGCTCCTGTGAGAGGAATCTGGGGGAAGCTTAGTCAGGTGCCTCAGGTTTACGGTCCCCCTTGAAGCTGCAGTCATACCACGGACCAGGGCTGTGGCCTCATCTGAAGGCTTGACTGGGGCTGGGCTCCGCCTCTGAGCTCACTCACACAGGCTGGCATGCAAGGTTGAGTTCCGTGCTGGCTGTGGGTGGAAACCCCCCAACCAGTTTCTTGCCAGGTGAGCTTCCCCACAGGATGCCCACAGCCTGGCAGGGGCTTTCATCACAGCAAGCTCGCCAGGGAGTGGGAGAGAGCACCCAGGACAGGTGTCCCAGCCTTTCTCAACCTCATCTCAGACGTGACATCTTTCCCTTCCGCTGTCTGGGTGCAAGTCATCTCAGACGTGACATCTTTCCCTTCTGCTGTGTGGGTGCAAGTCTCCAGGTGGAGCCCTAGAACTAGAAGGAAAAGAAAACCTCGATTTAACACGGGATAAAGCCACAGGAGCTGCCGGTCCCACCACGGGAATTTCAGCGCTGGGTTATGACCAAGCTCACTTTCCACCCCGTCCAACTGTGCAAACCTCCCCTGCCCAGGCCCCTGTACCAGAGGCTAAGAATCTGAACCCCAGTCAGGAAGTCCAGGTGGGTTCAAACAGCCAGAAGGGCATTTCAGGCAAAATGTGTCCCAAATCTCCAAACCATGCCCAGAGCTCAAACCTCCCCAGGGAGGTCATCCCAAGGAGACTAGCTGGCAGACGCTCAGGCTGTGGGGCAGACGCCACTTCCAAAACCCAGGAGCTGGGGACCACACAAGCACCTAATGCCAAAGGCGCCAGCGGAGGGATGCCCTGTGCCCCCAGCCAGGTAACCCGCTGCACTCTAATTTCACCAGGAAACATCTGTGATAGAGGTAGCTAAGCCAGCCTGGCCTCCCAGATCCGCTCATCTTTTTTCCCTCCATTCTGATTTGCCACATTGAAAACACGTGAGTGGAGTAGAAAGCCTTCCTATTCCTGTCTCAGCAACCCCTTTTCTTTCTTTTCCGAGATGGAGTCTTGCTCTGTCTCCCAGGTTGGAGGGCAGTGGTACAATCTCCGCCCCCCAGGATCAAGCAATTCTCCTGCCTCAGCCTCCTGAGTAGCTGGGATTACAGGCGTGTGCCACCGCGCCTGGCTAATTTTTGTATTTTTGGTAGAGACGGGGTTTCACCATGTTGGTCAGGCTGGTCTCGAACTCCTGACCCTGTGATCCGTCTGCCTCGGCCTCCCAAAGTGCTGGGAATACAGGCGTGAGCCACCGCGCCTGGTCGACCCTTATTAAAACAGTCTCGTTTGGCCCCAAAATGTGATTTGCAGGCTTCCTGGGTTAAGGAGGTTGCACTCCACTAAAAATAAAATAAAATAAAATAAAATAAATAAAAAGCCACCAAACGGGGACTCGGCTCTCGGGAGTTTTGGCGTCTTTTTTTTCTTTTCTGTGGCCGCGCCACACAGCGCTCGTGGGCTTCAGGGCGTGAGGGTGGCCGTGGACCCACGGACGTGAAAAGGCGCAAGCTCGTTTGCGAAACGGCCCCGGCTCCCGGGCAGAAGCGGAGGGGTGCGCATCCAGGGAGACCCCGCGTTTCCGCAGCGTTTTCCGCGCAATCCGCCGGCCACGGGAGAGGACCCCCCAAAAGCGAATCTGGGCCGGGGAACCCCGGGCGCCCGCGCACTCAGTACCAGTACCGGCACGCAGCACCGAGCACCCAGCACGCAGCACCGAGCCCGCAGCACCCACCGACAGCCGGACGCGGTCTCCGCTGCAGGCATAGCGCTCGGCCTCCGCGCCTTCGCCACAAAGAGACGCTGGCGGGCGGGGCCTGAGAGGCGCGCGGTGGAGGCGGCTCGGAGCACAGGCCTGGAGGACCCAGGTGGGCTTCCCGGGGCGCCCGCGGGGCCGGAAATGACGCGCAGAACCCGTCACCCGGCTCCTCGCTGCCCCACGGGCGTGGCCGCGGAAAAGCGCCACAGCCCACAACGCCCCCGCGGCTGCGCGTTGGTTCCGCTCGGGCCGTTCCACTGCAGGCAGACGGGGGCACAACAGTGACCCCGCGGCTGCACGTTGGTTCCGCTCGGGCCCTTCCACTGGAGGTAAATGAGGGGGACAACACGGCGAGATTTTTTCCCCTTGGCGGCCCGATGGTTCCGCCCGGGCCGTTGCACCGCAGGAGACGCGGAACACGGCGCGCTGAGATCCTCCCCACCCCGCGGCCTCCCGTTGGTTCCGCCCGGGCCTTTCCACTGCAGACGGACGGGGGGGGGCGCATGGCGCGCTCAGCGCACCCCCGCGTCCCGTCCGTTGGTTCCGCCCGGGCTGTTCCACCGCTGGCACGTCAGGGCGGGATCGGACAGTCTGTGGAGACAGCGGCCTCGCAGGGCTTGCCGCCCAGGTCTGGGTTCAAGGAATAGGAAATCCATCGGGTAGGCTGAACTTGGAAGACTCAAAGGCGTCTCATGGCGGAAGTGGTCACGCTCCGCGCGGCCTGAGGGGAAGCGTCGGGAGCAAGCTGGCCTCGGAGTTGCAGGGGGCGGGGCCGCCGCGCCGCCGAGGACCCGCCCCAGGGCGCTGATTGGCTTGTGGCGCGCTCCGGGGCGGGGCCTCCGCTGCCAGGCAGGCGCGGGGGCTGTTGGGGGAACGTCCGGCGCAGACACGCCTGCGGCCCCGAGGAGCCGCGCGGTGGACCTTTGTCGAAGGTTTTCCTCGCCTTACTTTCCCGCAGACTTTTCAGGAACGAACTTTCGGCTGAAGGGCTCTTTAGAGATTATTTTTGACGGGGTGCAGTGGCTCACACCCGTAATCCCAGCACTCTGGGAGGCCGAGGTGGGCGGATCGCCCGAGGTCAGGAGTTCGAGACCAGCCTGGCCAACATGGCGAAACCCCGTCTCTACTAAAAATACAGATATTAGCCGGGCGTGATGTTTTTGAGAGGGGGTCTAGCTCTGTTGCCCGGGTTGGAGTGCAGGGGCGCGATCTCGGCTCACTACAACCCCTGCCTCTGCAACCTCCACCTCCCGGGTTCAAGCAGTTCTCTCTCTGCCTCAGCCTCTCAAGTAGCTGGGATTACAGGTGCCCGCCACCACACCTGGCTAATTTTTTTTGTAGAGACTGCGTTTCACCATGTTGGCCAGGCTGATCTTGAACTTCTGACCTCGTGATTTACCCGCCTAGGCCTCCCAAAGTGCTGGGATTACAGCTGTAAACCACAGTACCCTGCCTCTCAAAATTTTTATAGCAAAGCCTTATATTTCATGAGGGACCATGCGTTTTATTTTATCTTTGAGATGGGGTTCTCCATACTTTGCCCAGGCTGGTCTCAAACTCAGGACCCTCTGGCCTCAGCCTCCCGAGTAGCTGGGCCTGCAGGTAGCCGCCACCATGCTGGGCTTGGGCTGTGCATTTTACTGATTTTGGAATGTCTGGGAGGCCAGAGTACCTTCCTCTCTTTCCCTCCCGGAAAGGACCTCCCACCTTGGCTTCCCAAAGCGCTGGGCTTACAGGTGTGAGCCACCATGCCACACCTCTCTTTGCTATTTTTCCTGGGAGGGGTGTATTAATAATTCTAATTTTAAATTTCTTTGATTATGTTCCAGATTGATTATTGATCATTTACTTCTTAGCTAATTATAGTTTTCTTTGAATCATCAGTTTCTACCCTTTGCCAGTTTTTTTCTTTTTTTTTGGAGACAGAGTCTCGCTCTGTTGCCCAGGCTGGAGTGCAGTGGCACGATCTCGGCTCACTGCAACCTCTGCCTTCTGGGTTCAAGCAATTCTCCTTCCTCAGCCTCCTGAGTAGCTCAGATTACAGGTGCCTGCCGCCATGCCCCGCTGTTTTTTTTTGTGTGTGTGTGTGTGTGTTTTTTAGTAGATTTGGGGTTTCACCATATTGGCCAGGCTGGTCTCAAACTTCTGACCTTATGATCTGCCCGCCTTGGCCTCCCAAAGTGCTGGGATTACAGGCGTGAGCCACCACGCCTGGCGACAGTTTTTCTGTAATGTTTGTATGAATGACATGAGCTGTATCTGTATTGAGAACACAGACCTGTTGTATCACTGTAGATGTTTTACTGGCTTGCATGTCCTCTTCTGTTTATGATGCATATTGATGAATTTCTGTTCACATGACATGGAATCAGTTAGGAATCGGGAAGCCCTGGCTGTGAGTGAGACTGATGGGTCCAGGCACGGTTCAAACCCCGTCCCCAAAGTGTGTCCCTGGCTCCCTGGGATCCTCCAGGATCTGCTGCTCTTTCGACACAGCCTGGGCAGAGCCCTCCACAGCCTTCCTCGGCCTGTCTGCTGTCTGCTGACCTCAAGAAAGGGTCTTCCCAGGGTGAGGGGCCCTTGGGATTCCTTTCCTCTGCCTTCAGTGCCTGGGTGATCTTCTAGAAGGCGGGAAGGAAAGCAGTCATGGCCAGTTCTGTGCCGCCCCCACGGGGTTCCCCCGGCCCACAGACTCCTCTGTGTCCCCCAGCCAGGCTCAGTCTAGGTCTGGGCTCCCTCTGGGCAGGGAGGGTGACACCTGCCCTCCCAGAGGAGCTGAAGTTCCCTAAGGGATGTCGAGGACAGCAGGGAGGCGTGGACAGAGGCCCCAGAGATGGGTCTGTGTTAGGGTCTGGCGGGTGAGGAGGAAGGGCAGAGGGTCCGCCTGGACACCCAGCCTGCAGGCTACTCGGCCACCTGTGGGGGGGTGGGGGAGCAGCAGCCGCTCACGCCTCTGTAATTTGTCCTCATCAGCAGGTGGGGAAACTGAGGCCGGGGAGTTCTGCAGGCCAGGGTCACTCATGGGCAGGTTCCTTCAGCCTGTGGACCTTCCACGCTCAGGCCGGTCATGCTTTCCTGGGCCATCCTGTTTCCCAGAGCACACTGCTGTGTGTCTCTGAGTGTGTGTGTGTCCATGGCATCCATGTGTATTTTTCTGTATGTCTGAGTCTGTGTGGTGTGTGTGTATCTGTGTGTCTCGCTGAGTGTGTGGTGCCTGTGTGTGTGTCTCAGTGGCATCCATGCATATTTGTGTGTGTGTGTGGTGTCTGTGTGTCTCAGTGGTGTCCATGTGTATTTTTCTGTGTGTTTGTGTCTGTGAGTCTGTGTGTCTCTGTGTGTGAATCTGTGTCTGTGTCTCTGTATGTGTGTGTCTGTGTATGTGAATCTGTGTGTGTGTGTGTAATCTGTGTCTGTGTGTGTGAATCTGTGTGAGTCTGTGTGTCTCTGTGTATGTGAATCTGTGTTTGTGTGTGTGTCTGTGTGTGGAATCTGTGTGTTTGTATGTTTGTGTGTGTGTGTGAATCTGTGTGAGTGTGTCTTTGTGTATGTGAATCTGTGTTTGTATATGTGTATGTATCTGTGTGTGGAATCTGTGTGTGTGTCTATGTGTGTGTCTGTGTGAATCTGTGAGTCTGTGTCTCTGTATGTGAATCTGTGTTTGTGTATGTGTGTGTGTCTGTGGAATCTGTGTGTGTCTATGTGTGTGTGTGAATCTGTGTGTGTGAGTCTGTGTGTCTATGTGAATCTGTGTGTTTGTGTATGTGTGTGTGTGTGTGTGTGTGGAATCTGTGTGTGTCTGTGTGTCTCCGTGTATGTGAATCTGTGTTTGTGTATTGTGTGTGTCTGTGTGGAATCTGTCTATGTGTGTGTCTGTGTGAATCTGTGTGTGTGAATCTGTGTGTCTATGTGAATCTGTGTTTGTGTATGTGTGTGTGTGTGTGTTGAATCTGTGTGTGTCTATGTTTGTGTGTGTCTGTGTGAATCTGTGTGAGTCTGTTTCTGTGTATATGAATCTGTGTTTATGTGAGTCTTGTGTGTCTGAATCTGTGACTCAGTGTGTCTCTGTGTCTCTGTGTGTGTCTGTGAATCTGTTTGTGTCTCTGTATGTGTCTCTGTGTGAATCTGTTTGTGTGTGAGTCTGTGTTTCTGTGTGAATCTGTGACTCAGTGTGTCTCTGTGTGTGTCTGTGTATGTGAATCTGTGTGTTTGTATGTCTGTGTCTCTGTGTGTGTCTGTGTGTCTGTGAATGTGTCTCTGTGTCTGTGTATCTCTGTGTGTGTGAATCTGTGTGTTTGTCTGTGTCTCTGTGTGTGAATCTGTGTGTTTGTATGTCTGTGTCTCTGTGTCTGTGTATGTGAATCCGTGTGTTTGTATGTCTGTGTCTCTGTGTGTCTGTGTGTGTGAATCTGTGTGTATGTCTGTGTCTCTGTATGTGTGTGTCTGTGTGTGTGAATCTGTGTGTATGTCTGTGTCTATGTGTGTGTCTGTGTGTGTGAATCTGTGTGTATGTCTGTGTCTATGTGTGTGTGTGTGTGAATCTGTGTGTATGTCTGTGTCTCTATGTGTGTGTCTGTGTGTGTGAATCTGTGTGTATGTCTGTGTCTCTGTATGTGTGTGTCTGTGTGTGTGAATCTGTGTGTATGTCTTTGTCTTTGTATGTGTGTGTCTGTGAATCTGTGTTTGTATGTTTGTGTCTCTGTATGTGTCTGTGAATCCGTGTGTTTGTATGTCTGTGTCTCTATGTGTGTGTGTGTGAATCTGTGTGTTTGTATGTCTGTGTCTCTGTGTCTGTGTATGTGAATCCGTGTGTTTGTATGTCTGTGTCTCTGTATGTGTGTGTCTGTGAATCTGTGTGTTTGTATGTCTGTGTCTCTGCATGTGTGTGTCTCTGTGTGAATCTGTATGTGTATTTGCCCCTCCTTCTGTCTGGCTTCCTGTCCCCTCTGCACAGAGCAGTGGGGTGGGGATCTTGGTCCTGGGGCTTCTCAGCAGGATGTGGGCCTGGGCAGCCGTGGGTGAGGCCTGAGCACAGGCCCACAGGCCTACTGCGTGGGGTGACCGAGCCAGCTCCTCTGTGGCTCTCGGGTCCCCACCACCCCTCCCTGGGCGCTGCCTGTCCTGGCCACCCCTCCCGTCCACCCTGCTTCCACAGGAGGCGCCCTCCTCTCGCAGGTGCATGCCGTGGTGGCGGGGGCTCCTGAGGAGGCCGTGGCCTCTGTCTGCGCCGTCTTGGCTTTTTGGTGTCGCCAGACCCTGCAGGCAGCCCAGGCCATGGCCGAGGTCTTTCTGGGGTGGGATGTGCTGGAAGCAGCTGATCCACAGTGACCGACTAGCTCCTGCCTTCCCCTACGTCCCAGCACCACCAACCTTCCCGGGCACCCTGTACCCGTCCGCCCTGCTCTCCCCGATCCTGCCACCCACCTCCAGCCAGACTTCCAGTTCCAGGGGCCAGGCTGCCTGGGCTCCCAGCGGGACAGGCCTCGCCCAGACCCCGCAGGTGCCATGGGACTTGGGCTGGGTCTTAGGGCCTGGCTGCCGCCCCTTCGGGCCTGGCCTGAGGAGACCCCATGGCTGAGGGAGGCAGGGTGGGGGTGCCCGGCCCAGCACAGAGGTACCCAGGGTGCAGGCAGGGACCCTGATGCCACTGCTTCAGGCTGGAAAAGGTTTCCAAGGCCCCGAGCCTGAGGCTGGCAGCCTTGTGCAGCCACACCGATGGGGTGGGGCCCGAGGATGTCTTGGGGCCTCTGTGCTCCCCAAAGCCAGGAAGGTTAAGGCTTGATTGACAGCCTCTTCCAGGAGGGGGGAGGCAGGGAGGCTCCAGGGCTGATCCTCAAGAGCCAGTAGGGAGGGGCCCACAGCCCAGGCTTTCACGTCCCCAAAACGGGCAGGGTGCCAGGGGCACAGGTGCCCACAGGGTGGTGGTTTTGCGTTTTGGTCTCTCCTGGCCTTGCATGTGTGTAGGGCAGACGCGCCTGGCAAAGCCTTGTGCCACATTCATCTGGGGCGTCGTTTAGGACAACAGGGATGGGGTGGGGGGGGCCTGGGGGGGCGCAGGGACCTCGCCACCTGGGACCACGTCGCTGGAGGGAAGATGGAAGCCGACGTCAGCGCCTAGGCCGGGCCGAGGGGCCAGGGGTCCTCACCTGGCTTGTGGCTGCCCCTGACGTAGGCAGCCCGGATGGAGGGGCCCTTCCAACTCTGCTGGCCCCGGGGATGCAGGGACTCAATTCCCCTCTGGTCTGTGGCCCTTCTGGGAGCAACACAGCCTGCCCAAGTCGACTCGCCCCTCAGCTTTGCCCCTTCTGTCCAGGACTGGGCTTTGCTACCCACCCACCAGGGCAGCACTCCCCCTCCCGCCCAGAAGAGGCAGCAGCACCCCCAGCCCTGGGGACACCACAGAGCCCCTTGGGAAGGTCACCCCGCTGGCCCCATGTCGTTTAACAGATGGCCATTTCTGGGCTGGCATTTAATGGGGGTGACCCTGCACAGCCCCTCTGTGTTGGTTACAAGGTGTCAGAAGAAAGCTGTTATTAACCCAACTTCTTTTTTACAAGTCTTGTTTATTGAAAGGATCTGAAAATTGTAGTAAGGCTTTCAATGACATTTAATAAATTTTCAAGAAATTAATATGAAACATTAAAATTTACTTAAAAAATCACAAGTTTTCTAGATCATTCCCATCTCAGGCTGCTTTAGAGGTCAGTTCATGCCTTTTGTTCAGGTGAGTGACTGGAATTCCGAACACGGCTGTCTTCCGGCCCTAATGCTGGGCACTGGTCCCTCTCTCCTCCTGCGCCCGTGGCTGGGCGGGCGGAGGCTTCACCTGTGCTCAGGGTCATGGCTGACTTACAGCCAGGCCCACTGCCCAGAATCACACCCCGGGATTTTGGACGCTGAAGTTTGCAGAGTTGAGGTGCTCAGATGGGGGTGAGCAGGGCAGACACGTGCCTGGGCTGGGCCGGGCGGCTGCGGGCAGCACCTCTCCAAACTTCCTGTTCTTACAATCCAGCAGATGAGCAGGTACTGAAAAGATGCATGCCTGGGCAGTAGCGACCAGGACCCTAGGCCCTGACCACAGCCTCCACACACCTGTGCCCGCTGTGCCTGTGGAAGACATGGGCACCGGGGCACGCAGCGCCCACATGCAGGCCGGAGGCTCATGGGAGAGGCAGGAGGAAAATCACTGTGTTGAGTCCTTCACTTGGGTTAGTCTCAAAATTCTCATTAGTTACAAAACAAAAGGGATCCCGATCAGCAGCCCGGAAAACCCCATCTCCCGGACCCTCAGGATGGCGCTGAACAGAATGGTCCCCGAATGGTCCCTGAGGACGGTGTCTTGCAGAGCAGGAACGTAAACATTTAATGGTAGGACGACGCGCTTCCCCTCGAAATCTTCACAAAAGTGTGTACAAGAAAATATGTACATAAGCACTTCAAAAAGTTTCAAACAGCCTTTAAAAAGTATGTACAGGATTTAAACCCCCTCCCTGGGAGCAGAAGCTACACTGAGGAAGGCGTGGGTCGCGGAGACGCCAGCTCCTCCCGCTGTGGGTCCCACACTCAGGGCCGGCCTCGCGCGGGAAGGGTGGGGGATGCACCCAGCCCTCTCCAGAAACTGAGCAGAACAAAACCAGCTTGCCAGCCACCAGCAAGCCCCTGCTTTCAATGGCGCCTCGCTTGGATTTCCCTGCAGAGGTTTTAGGGAGGAGGCTCACGCCGAGAGCAGAAGCTTTGCCGCCGAGGAAGGCTTTTGGGTGAGACATTTATTGTCAACATGGAAGGACAGGCCGAGTCACTCTGACCCCTCTGAATTTCAGTTGACTGATCTGGCGTGGAATTCCGGCAGCTGGAGGCCATGCTCCGGGGACCCACGGGGGTGAGGGGGGAAGGGGGTAGGGAGTCAGCGGGACAAAATAGCTCCCAGCCCATTTCTCACTTTGCTTTTTTAGAAATGCAAAAAAAGTCAGATTTAAAATGTTAAAAAAACAGCTGATCTGGACACAAGGCAGACCCAGGTTCTAACCCAGCTACAGAAAGGAAGTGGTCGTGCCATTTAGACAGAGGTGTTCACAGACACACACAGATTGGTGTGTCCCCAGAGAGTGCACGGAGGGCAGAAAAACAGACAGTGGAAAGATTCAGGCCTGGACGAGCCTCGACCTAGCCCTCCTCCTCCTCCTCCTCCTCCTCCTCCTCAAAGTGGGCTTGCTTCTTCCGGACGTTCCAGTGCAGGCACTGGGCGAGGCTCTCAAACCAGTCGCTCACGGGGTCCCGCACACAGATGGAGGGCAGCGGGTAGCATGAGGTAGTGATGCTGATGCTGAGGCAGAGACGAGCCTGAGCCGGGGCTCCCAGGAGGGCCCCCCAGACCCTCCCTCCCCAGGGGCTCCCCCCAGATCCTCCCTCCCCAGGGGCTCCCCGCCAACACCCTCCCTCCCCAGGAATGACTGGCACTGTCCCTCCCCAAGGCAGGCTTCAGGGGTGCCCCATGGGTGTTGGGAATAACCACCCCAGGTCCTGGAGGAGATGGCGCAGGAAGCTGACAGACTGCCCCGGGGCCCTCAGGGGTGAGGTCCCAGGAGGAGGAGGTGGGCAGCTGTGCCAGAGGGGACACCCTAGGGCCTCTGCTGGGACCAGGCCTGCATGTGCCACTGTAGGTGTGAACCACTGCCCCTGGCACGGGTCCCCCGACTGTAATGCTCTGAGGCCCGGGACTCAAGCCCTCTGGTGCTCTAGGGGACAAGCTGTGTCCCCAGGCCAACCCCAAGAGGGTGGGCACTGCCTGGCCCAGGGAGGAGGTCAGCTGCGATGCCCAGCGGGCCTGTAGCCCACACCTGTCTCCGTGGCGGATCTCTTGTCTCTTCCGTCCGTCAAAGGACACCCATGCCGTGTTCCTTGCTTCAGGTGACAGCATGATCTGAGGGTCAAGCAGGGAGAGGTGTGGGCACCCAGCTGTAGGGAGGACGCTTCTTGGCGCCCACCCCTGGCTGCTCGGCCGAGGCCGAAGGTTGTGCAGCAGCGACCCTGCCTTGCGGATGGCGGCCTGCACATCCGATAGGTGCCGGCCCAGCTCCACGCCGCCAGAGGCCAGCGATGGCGGGAAGCCCCTTCAGACCCGGGCCCCAGGCACCTCGGTGGACAGAGCTTGGGCCCCAAGCAAGGCAGGGCTTGCATCTGAGGGGGTAAGGGACGGCCCCAGGATGCCGAGGCCGCGTCTGAGGCTGGAGCCAGCGCAGCAGGGCCAGGGGCTAGGTCCCGGCTTTGCGTTGCACGGGATCAAATGACTCACAAACTGGAAAAGGAGGAGCGTCGCTGGCTCTGACCTTCAGCTCGACCCCTGCGGGGACCACGATGGGCCGGAAGGACAGCGAGTGGGGGCAGATGGGCGTGATCATGATGGCCGGCACGTTGGGGTGGATCATGGAGGCCCCGGCCGCGGCCGCATACGCCGTGCTGCCCGTCGGGGTCGACACGATCACTCCTGACAGGGACAGGCGCAGGCGTCACTCCCGCCCGAGGACGCTCGGGGCCCCAGGACAGCGCAGCGGGCCTTACCGTCGCCCTGCACCGTGGTGATGAGGTGTCCGTCCAGGTAGACGTCCACGTTAGACAGGTAGGAGGAGGGGCCTCTGTCGATCACCACCTCGTTCAGGACCTGGAGGGCAGCAGCACGGCACACTCAGGGTGGGGGCGCCCGTGCACCTCACAGACACCCCCATCTCACCCAGGCTCTCCGGAAGGTCCCCCCACCCGGGACCCTTGACGAGGCCGGAGCCACCCACCCACCTGGTACTGCATGGCCTGCTTCTCAACATCCATGTCCAGACCCACAGGCCGCGAGCCGTTCTCACCCAGCCCGTTGTGCACGGCCGTCTTCTTTTCCCGGAGCTCCTTCACCACCCTGACCTTCAGCCGGCTTCGGAGGACAACAGCTGCGTTCCCTGAGGTCCGGCGGGGTCAGAGGGCATGGATCCATCAGGGAGGCTGGCGGGGTCAGGGAACCCAGCCCAGGGAGGCCAGCAGGGTGAGGGGCTGTTTCTTCTCCTAAGTTGACACTTCTGTGCCTTTTTTTTGGAGACAGTCTCACTCTGTTACCAGGCTGGAGTGTAGTGGTGGCTCACTGCAACCTCCACCTGCCAGGTTCCAGCAATTCCCCTACCTCAGCCTCCCAAGCAGCTGGGACTGCAGGCGCGCATCACCACGCCCGGCTAAGTTCTGCATTTTCAGTAGAGACGGGGTTTCACCATGTTGGCCTGGGGTCTCAATCTCTTGACCTCGTGATCCACCCGCCTCAGCCTCCCACAGTGCTGGGATTACAGGCGTGAGCCACCGTGCCTGGTCAACACCTGTGCGCCTTCACAGAGTGAGAACCTGCTCACTTCTAGCCAACAGACAACGGCAGCTTGAACCCGTGATCTGCTGAAACTTCTCAGTGTTAGTAAAAAACGTTTGACCCACTCGACTTAGAAATCCCTGAATCTGGAAACCTTTAAGTGTTGCCATATGCATCATTAAATAAAAACAACCCCCCCAGCCAAGCAAGACGGCATGATCAGAGCTGCTGATGGTTCCAGAACATTCGAACTCACCCTCTATCACTTGAGTAACTTGGGACTGAAAGTTCTCAAAGCTGAACGGGGTCAGGAAGCCCAGGGAGCCCAGGTGGAAGGCCATGACGGGAGGCACACTGCCCTGTGAGTCAGCAGAGAGGCACTCAGCGCCCACACCCCCAGCTTGCCACCAGCACCTCAGGAGGAACCCAGCTCTGGGGACAGCAACCCGACCCTCTGCAGGAGGGACTGGCCATGTGGACAGAGTGGAGGGGGACATCCCAGGCCAGGGTGGCCAGGGCCATCAGGGCCGAGGTTGGTGGGGGGAGCTGGGGAGAAGCAAAGGCACCAGGCTGAGCAGACCCTGCGGCGTGGAGGGCGGGGGAGGCGGCGGGGGCGGATGGGAGGCAGCCTTGGGGTCAGAGCCTCGAGTTCAACAGGGGCTAATGAGGAGAGCAGGGCGGGCCGTGGGTACTTCCAAATGGCACGGACAAGCAGTGGGCCAAGGGCAGAGCCAGGGTCCCCTGCACAGGGTGGCCCTGCGGCCCCAGGGAGAGCCACGCAGTTGAGAAACCAGGAAGAGGAGCTCCAAGGAGGTCCGGAGGGGATGGGCCAGCAGGGGAGGGCTGTTCCCTGGTACCCGCTGCTCTGCACCCCTCACTCTTGTCCCAGGCGGGCTCTGGCCACCCCCAGCTGTAGCACTGCGTCCATACCGCCCCTGGCCCCGCTGTGCTAGGCCGCTCTAGGCGACTGCTCTCTCGTAAAGCTACGGGAGTGAAAGCGGTGAAGCCATGCACTGCAAGCCCCTCTACACACGGCACGACCGTAAGCTGGCGTGTGCTGGGAATGCCAAGGCCTCACCTGGAAGAGTGAGGAAGCGTACAGCAGCGTCCCGTCCCCCCCCAGGCAGATGATGAAGTCGATCCGATTGGAGATGTCATCGTAATCTAGGAAACAAAACGCAGGCGTCACTCAGGGGCCCCTCCCTGGCGCAGTGCTGGAAGCTTCCATCAGGTGGGGAACCGTGCCGGGGAAGCCGAGGACACTCTGCCGACAGCGCACCTTCTCGGAAGGTGCAGAACTTCTTCTTCACTGCCCCAAAGCTTTCATCGCTGGCGATAGCAGGGTCTTCTAGCACTTTCTTTTCCACATACACGATCATGTTGTTTTCCTGGAAGCAAAGCGCCCACCTGCTCATTCCACGTGCAGACCCTGCCCTCTCGCCGGGAGGTTCCTGACTTACGGGCACTGGCGTAAGTCAGGAACCAGAGCCCTGGCACCATGGCCTGCATGCCTGCTTCTCCCAAGCTCACACTGAAACGTAAGCGCCAACGTGCCGGGATTAAGATGCGAGACCTTTAAGGGATGGTTGGGTGGCAGAGGCTCCCCCTCAGGAATCTACTAACGCTGTGACTTCAGGAGTGGGCTTCCAGCCCTGGCCCCCAACCTCCAACGCCTGCTCCTCTGCAGAGAAGGCACAGCAGGAAGGCCTCTCAAGAACTAACACTGTTATACACTGTGGTTTCAGGAGTGGGCTTCCCGGCTCTGATCTCGCTCCCCGTGCCTGCTCTTCTGCCCTCGCCAGATGCGGCCCCTTGATCTTGGACTTCCCAGCCTCCAGGGCTGTGACCCCCTGGGTCACTGCTGGCCTCCCAGTCTGGTGCTTTTCACAGCAGCCCACACTAACCCAGATACCCTGGGCAGACCCCGCTCCGTCCAGTTCCAGACAAGCAGCTGTTTCCCAGCAGCTGAGACGGTTCCCATGGTCTCATGGGTGGTGATGCGCACGGAGGCCCCCCGACTCCGTGTGCACCCCAGGACCCCTCTCCCTCCAGGGCCCCCCCGCAGCCCGCGTGCCTCCATGAGGTATGTGCAGAGCTCCTTGAATGGCTGCAGCAGGCTGGCATCTCTCATCTTCTTGATGACAAGGACGCTCTTCGGAGCCTTGTTCCACGTCAGCCGCTGACTTGCGGGGTCCTGAATGTGCCTTGGGGAGGAAGACACGTGGCGGTGATTCCCCTTGAAGAGGAGGGGCAGGACTTAGAAAAGAAACAAATCCTTAAAAAGGTGTTTTCAACTCCCAAGGAAATGCGCTCAACGGCGGCCACGGCCCAGGCTAAGGGTCGCACCGGCACCCCCAGCCACCTGGTGCTGGAGCCTGGCCACAGAGACAGGTCGAGGTCAGCAGGGTCCAGAGTGACGGTCTCTCAGCTGCTTGGCCCACTGCACGCAGGCTCAGGCCCACACGCCCTGCCCGGGCACCGCTGCCCTCCACAACCCCCAGCCGCCTGCCTGCCTGGCTGCGCAGTGACAGTCTTGGGGTGGAAATGACCACAGAAGCTCACGGCGGGGCCACCCTTTGCTTGGTGCCCTCCTCAGCCCCCCGAGAAAACCCAAACCATGATGTGGAGACTCTGCCCCTAGGATCCCCTGCACATGACCCCAGGTGAGACCCAGGACCCTCAAGGGCGGGCTTCCTGCCCTGCAGGCAGCTCACTACACCCCTGCATGAACGGACTTTAACCTTACTAACTCTCCCTCACGTGGCTGCCTGTGCCGTGCTGGCTCCGACGCGACCACTGTCCCTGGTGTCTCCACAGGCAGGGCCTGCCCCGGTGGGATTCCCATGACCGCATTAGTCACAGAAAACACCTCAGCCCAGCCCAGAACTGGGAACACACATCAAGGAGCCCACTCCTATTCCAGAAGCCAAGGGAGGGTGCAGCGTGGACAGCCATCAGTCAGTGCTCACTGCCCATCCTCAGCCCCACAGGGGAAGCTCTTACACCAGAGCGCCGGTCAGTTGGTTCAAGTTCCCCAATCGAGAAAGCCGCTGCCCACCATGCCTCTGCCCAGCAGTGACTTATCCGAGAGAGTGACTGTCCCACTAACAACCCCCAGAACCACAACACAAACACCGACAGGGCCACAGATCACAGCCCATCTCTCCTGACCTTTGGAAGCCGGTCGGCACTCACTTACCCTGTGCAGGCACTGCTGGGGGGTGTAAGGTCACTCATGCCATCCCCTATGAGCTCAACGCCTGCCCCGGGTCACACACGTGGCACAAAAGGTGGCCCCTGCCTGCTGGGAGCCGGCCGGCGTGTCCACGGCATCTGGGCCACGCTTGGCAAACACGTGGCCTCTCCAGTGGCATGCTCCTGACTGTGCTCACACTAGAATCCTAAGTTCTGCATACTCAAAACTGAAAGCAAAACACAACTGTGATGTGACTTGGTAAAGCTGTAAAAGCAACTAAGTCAAAAGAGCTTCCCAAACTTTAAAAAATCAAACAAAACAAAACATAGTTTCCTCATTGGTCACATGGTCCTCTTGCCTAATCCCTACTGAAAAAAAGTCCCCAGAATCGTGGTTAGCAGCAAAGGCCACACTTCAGCTCCCTGGTCCTCGCTGAGCCGGGCAGGACCGAGCCCTCTGTTCCCGTGTCCTCAGACCTCATGGCCAAGCCTCCAGCCTCCAGCCTCTTCCCAGCCCTGTGCCAGCCCCACTCAGCCCTGCGGAACCGGCTCTGCCCCAGGGAAGGCGTCCTCAGGCCACAGTCAGGTGGAAGGGCGTTCACGCCCAGCCCTTGCGACATTCTGCTTGGCTCGGCCCGGCCCTGTGCAGGTGGCTCACAGTCCTCGGCAGGGTCAGCCAGCACAGCCCCGCCCTGCACACGGCTCACCCTGCTCTCTTGCCCTCTGTCACCACTGACCCGGCAGCCCAGCCTGCACCCATTCCAGCCTGAGGCTCAGCCGAGCCCAGCCAGAGCCACCGGCAGCAGCGTCGTGCATAGGCCTAGGCACGCACCCGTGTGTGACCATAAACCAGTGCCTCGACTTCCTCCTGGGTCACCTGCAAAGCGGGACACTAACTCTTGCAGGCACACATGGCTGTGGATATTGGATGGGAGGGCAGGAGGTGGCGTGAAGCCAACACGGCCACAGCCTGGCCAGCTCTGACTCAGACTGCGTCACCCATGGGTGGCCCACACACAAACACAGGCACTCACGCACCACCACAACACACGCCCCCCTCCATGCCGCACGCCCTCTGCCACACGCACCCCTCCATGTGACAAGCCCTCCATGCGACAAGCCCTCTGCCATAAGCTGCCCCCACATGCGCCCCGCCATATGCAACCTCCGCCACACGCCGCCTCTGCGACACGCGCCCCTCCATGCCACACGCCCTCAGCCACGCATGCCCCTCCATGCCACACGCCCTCAGCCACGCGTGCCCCTCCATGCCACATGCCCTCAGCCACGCGTGCCCCTCCACAAGCTCTTTGCCATCCGCGCCCCTCGCCACACGTGGCCGCCGGTCCCCTGGACAGTAAACCAGGAAGCAGGCCTTCCCGCCAGCCCCACAGGGTCCTGCTCTGGACCATCAGGGAATACCACAGGCTGAAATGCGTGCAAAGCGCTGCCCTCCACTGCAGCCTCGGGACGCCGACGTGAGTGTGTCCCCAGGTTACGATCCCAGACACACAGAGCCCAAGGGAGCCGTGCTCCCACAGGAGCCGAGAAAGCTGCATGCCTCAGTGCTGCTGGGCTGTCTGGCCTTGAGCAGGTAGGGGACCACCCAGTGCATCCTGGTCTCAGGGCTGGGGCAGAATGTGCCCCTCCGGCGGCCCTGTCCCAGTCCGAATGACTGATGGCCGACGAAGGCAGTGGCCGAGATGCGAGCCAGGACCAGGAAGTGCAGGGAGGGCACGGGGCAGTGGGGGAAGAGGCCTGGTGGCCGCCAGGGACAGCGAAAGCACGGGACGGCAGGACAAGCCCACAGCAGGGCCAGGGGGACAGTGGAGCGCTCTGGGTCACCCACGTGGCTGCTGTGTAGGGAAGGGAGGGTGAGGCCGCAGCAGGCAGTCCTGACCATCTGCCGTGGTCATTTCCGCCTGCCACTGTCACTGTCACCGAGGAGCCAGGCAGGTCAGTGTCTGGGAGCCATGAAGGGCAGCAGCGTGTGCAGGTGGGGTGACGGTCAGGACCCACGGCACAGGCGGCCGAGTAACGGTGCAGGGGGCTGCTTGTATTTTACTGTCAAAGTATAGACGGACTAGATGGGGGGAAGCAAACGGGTCGGGCCCCGCCTGGGGCATTCGGCAGCAGTGGAGGGTCACAGACACTCCTCGCCAGAGTGACTTCCGCCCTAAGGGTCTGCCCTGAGCAACTGGAGGCGGCAAGGCCGGCCACCTTTGTGCCCAGGACTCACACGCCGCCTTGCTCACAGTGTAAAGAGCAGCTCCTTGATGACTCAGAGGCCTCCCCGGACCTGACTTTGTGACAGCCCAGGAGGCTACAGAACAGGTTCCGCCAGACCTGACCTTCAGTGACAGCTCAGGGCTGGGGTCTCATTCCCCGGTGCATCACCAGCTTCCACAGCGCGGGCGACACACACACAGCGCGGGCGCCTGCCTGTCAGCGAAGTGCCATGCGGCGGCCGCCCCACTTCACAGGGCCATGTTGCTCTTTGGCAAGTTGCCGAGCAGCCCTCGCACGGCAGCACTGGGCCCTTCCGCATGGTCCTGCCGTGCAGAAAGTGGTGTCCATGACTCCCAGAGGGAGGAGGCACAGAGGCCTGAGAGCCCGCCCGCCTCGGCCACTCAAGTGCTGGGATAACAGGCATGAGCCACTGCACCCAGCCAATTTTTCTATTTTTTGTAGAGATAGGCTTTCACCATGTTGCCAGGCTGGTCTCAAACTCATGGGCCCAAGTGATCTGCTGCCTCGGCCTCCACAGTACTGGGAATACAGGTGTGAGCCACTGTGCACCGCCAGGATTCTAATTCTTTACACAAAAACCACAGATGTCAGGTTGATCACTGTGGTGTTTTTCCCGTAAGACACTATGCTGGGCCTTTACGTAGAACGTGTTGACAAAACTGTCAAACAGCAACACAGCCCACCCTAGAGCTCTTACTCTTAGAAACTAAAAAGCAGCCCCGCGTGTCTTATGTTGATGGCCACTGATGCCACCATGCCCATAGGCTGTGACCTGGTCTCCAGGCTACCTGGTGTCCACTGCTCACGACCCCGGGTCGCCTGCCGTCCATGTTCTCAAAGCCGTCAGAGAAGCCACGGCTGGGGAGCTCTCTCTCAGATTCCTGCGCTCAGGGGGTTCAGGACAATGTCCATGTGGCTTTTTGTTCAAATGACCTAAAACATGTACTTCTCATGTGAAGGGTGGGAATCTGCCTCAACACAGCAATCCCACAACTCTGCACACATCCCAACGACTCCCACCCACCCGTGGCCCCAGCACTCACATGACGGTCTGGGGCTCTCCCCTCCCAAGAACCCCCCTCCTGGGACCTGGCACTCACATGATGGTCTGTGGGTTCTGCAGCACGCAGGCCTTTGGTCCAAAAGTGGTCACCGGGCATGGCCCATGGAGAGAGCGTGTCCTCCTGCAGGGAGAAGACAGTGTCAGGGCTGCCAGGGCCTGAAACCAGACACACAGGGACAGCCACAGATACAGAGGACGGTATAAGCTAAGGCATACATGCAACTCTAATGACGCCAACACCATCTGCCCAGCAGCCACACAGCAGCCCTGGAAGGTTCTGCCCAGGTCTGTGGCTGCACTGGAGCGGCACCCATGAGGAGCATGCACGCTGCCATGCCCCACAGATCATGACCCAAGCCGGGGAGAGAGACAGCCCGAGCATGGTAAACGGCACCGCCAGGGCTCAGAACTCCTGTGGTGTCTCCCCGGGGCACTCTCTGGGCCTGCATCTGGTACTCAAACCTTAGACTACACCTCTAAAGAGTCTAGATTACAATCCTAACAAGGAGCTGAGATTGCAGACTGAGCCGCTGCGCCTGGCCAGGAAATGTGCTCTACAGAAGTCACTGGGGTGTGAGGGGACCTCCCACTGGGCTCTGCTCATCTTGGGTGTCTGCTGGGTGACACAGGGCTGGTCATGAGGGAGGCCCAGTCATGAGCGTGGCCTTGGGTGGCCCAGCCGTCTCAGCCCCATGTGTTGGGCAAGCGGCTCCTTCCTGTGCCCGGAGCGCCCACAGCTGACACAGGCGTGGCCATTGGTGGCTGACGCCTGTAATCTCAGCACTCTGGGAGGCTGAGGCGGGCGTATCAGGAGGTCAGGAGTTGGAGACCAGCCTGGCTAACACGGTGAAACCCCATCTCTACGAAAATCACAAAAATTAGCCAGGTGCGGTGGTGGGCACCTGTAGTCCCAGCTACTTGTGAGGCTGAGGCAGGAGAATCACTTGAACCCAGGAGGGGGACATTGCAGTGAGCTGAGATCGCACCACTGCACTACAGCCTGGGTGACAGAGAGAAACTCCATCTCAAAAAAAAAAAAAGTAAAGTACATTACCAAGTAAGAACGTTACCTGCTTAGGAACTTAAAAGATGATTGGGGAAAACAGTGTTTTCTAAGTGGGTGTTGGGATTTAACGTTTGCTTCCCAAGGACAGGCTGTGCTTGGGCTTATCTGCCACCTTCTCTCCCACCTCACCCTGAAGGTGCCTGTCACTCATGACGGAGGCAGCCTCTGACCCATGGCTGCTGTCAGCAGGTTCAGAGTGAAACAGAAGTGGTGCATTATGCCAAAGAACCCACAGGAAAAAAAGCAAAAGCGATTCTGTCAAGAGCGTGCAGTCACTGCGCCGGCGTGGTCCGGAGGTGGAGACGGTGAGCCACGCAGACGTTGCCTCTGAGGAGCGCTGAGTGACGCAGCACCCGCAGGGTGAAGTCAGCCACCAGCCCTCGCAGTGACTGTAGACAGAGAACTTGGTAGCAGCCTGTTTCCCGTTGCTGCTGCCAAGCGGAGGCGCTGCAGGCTCTCCCATCTCACCGGGAAAGACCCTGCGCTTTCTGAGGCTCCTTTCACCACAAAGTGCTGCTTGCATTTGATAGTCGTGATCCTTGTGGTGGACGCAGTGCTGGCTCTGGCAAGCTTCCCCTGAAACTCACCACATTTACTGTCACCAGAACCGAGAGCAACATCCCCAGGCACCATCACGCTGCCTTGTCCTGCGAAGCCTGGGGCATTGTTGCTCAAGTGGCGTTGTGCAAGAGCAGGCGCTGTGGGCGCTCCGGGCACAGGAGGGAGCCGCTTGCCCGACACGTGGGGCTGAGAGGGCTGGGCCGCCCAAGGCCACGCTCATGACTGGGCCTCCCTCATGACCAGCCCTGCGTCACCGTGCAGACACCCCAGCCTTCGCCTGTTCACCTCCCAAGACAAGCAGAGCCCAGAGGGAGGTCCCCTCACACCCCAGTGACTTCTGTAGCACAAATGTTTCCTGGCCGGGCACGGTGGCTCACGCCTGTAATCCCAGCACTTTGGGAGGCTGAGTCAAGTGGATCACCTGAGGTCAGGAGTTGAAGATCAGCCTGGCCAACATGGTGAAACCCTGTCGCTACAAAAAATACAAAAATTAGCTGGGCATGAGGGTGGTGCCTGTAGTCCCAGCTACTAAGGAGGCTGAGGTGGGAGAACTGCTTGAACCCGGGAGACGGAGGCTGCAGTGAGCTAGAATCGTGCCACTGCACTCCAGCCTGGGTGAGAGAGCGAGACTGTCTCAAAAAAACAGGTTTCCTCTCCGAGTTTGCTTCGGTCTAACACCAAGGGTCAGCGTGGGCTCCAGCTAGACGGCTCCGTGCTGATACAGACAGATAAAGCAGCACGCTGATGTCCACGGGCCACACGCCTCCCTCACCAGGCACGGCTCCACCTGGGCAGGGACCAGCCCCACCACCGGATGCCTTGACACAGACTGCTCAGGAGACGTCTATGAACTCAGAGAGACAGGAAGAGAGGAGGAAGCAGCCCTCCCGGCTGTACCTGAACTCCCTGGTGCTCCCCAGGGCGGGCGAGGCGGACAGGCTCCGAGACTTGGCGCGGCCCCGGATGGGGTGGCTGTAACTCCAGGTCTCGTCGCCATGGCAGGCCGAGCAGCCGTACGCAGCCGCGCCGGGACTCAACGCCTTATTCACGGTCATGTTTTCCTGCTCCATTTCCACAGTCGGGAAATGAGAACTTCGGCCAGAAAAGCACCGACACCTGAATTCAATAAAATAAACAACGTAAGCAAAGTAAATACATGTAAAACAACAGTCATTTACACATACGTGTGTTCCATTTCATCAAGGGGAAAAACGGCTGAGGTCCAATTTACTACAGTACTTTGAAAATAGACTGTCTCCACCCCAGAGATATTTAAAATCTACTTCTGGTCCTGGCCGGGCGTGGTGGCTGATGCCTGTAATCCCAGCACTTTGGGAGGCAGAGGTGGCAGACAACCTAAGGCCAGGAGTCTAAGACCAGCCTAGACTGACCAATATGGTGAAACCCCCCTCTACTAAAAATACAAAAATTAGCTGGGCATGGTGGCGGGTGCCTGTACTCTCAGCTACTCAGGAAGCTGAGGCAGGAGAATCACTTGAACCTGGGAGATTGAAGCTGCAGTGAGCTGAGATCACACCACTGCACTCTAGCCTGGGCAACTGGAGCAAAACTTTATCTCAAAAAAAAGTTTTTTTAAATAATATTTTTTAAAAAAAGTGTTTGGCTGAGTGTGGTGGCTTACGCCTGTAATCCCAGCACTTTGGGAGACCGAGGAGGGCGGATCATGTGAGGTCAGGAGTTCAAGAGCAGCCTGGCCGACATGAGGAAACCATGTCTCTACGAAAAAAATATATGCACAAAACTTAGCTGGGCATGGTGGCATGCACCTGTCATCCCAGCTACTTGGGAGGCTGAGGCAGGAGAACCACCTGAACCGAAGAGGCAGAGGTTGCAGTGAGCTGAGATCGTGCCACTGCATTCCAGCCTGGGCGACAGAGTGAGACTCCATCTCAAAAAAAAAAAAATAATTTTTTAAAAAAAGAAAAAAATAGAAAGTCACACCGTGTGGCAAGGTGTGGTGGTGGCTCATGTCTGCAGTGCCAGCACTTCGGCAGGCTGGGGAGAGACGATCACTTGAGGCCAGGAGTTCAAGACCAGTCTGGGCAACATTGAACTCTTCTCTACCAAAAAAACATTAGCCAGGCATGGTGGCCCATGAAGAAGACCCTGTCTTTAGAAAAGAAAGACAGACTCTTTCTTGTAAACAATATGGCACATTAATAAGAGAGAAGAAGTGTGCAATTTCAAATACCTTAGTCCAGAAAAGCTAACAAATCAATAAAATGGAACCAGCAGATACACTGTGAACTCCATGCCCTGCAAACAGTCTGCATCATAAATTCAGTGCCAACAAAATATTTACCAAACTGACCAATATTAGCCCTCAAAGAAAACTAGCGAGGATAGAAAACCTCTTTTTTTTAAGACAGGATCCCACCTTAGCCTCCCAAGTAGCTGGGACTACAGGAGTGCAGCACCACATCCAGCCACTGTTTTTCTCTTTGGTAGAGACAGGGTCTTGCTATGTGGCCCAGGCTGGTCTCCATTCCTGGCCTCCACTGATCCTCTCACTTCAGCCTCCCAAAACAGTGGGAGGACTACAGGCGTCAGATACCGTGCCTGGCCTAGAACCTCATCTTTTTTTTTTTTTTTTTTGAGACTTGTTACCCAGGCTAGAGTGCAATGGCACAATCTTGGCTCAGGGCAACCTCTGCCTTCCAGGTTCAAGCGATTGTCCTGCCTCAGCCTCCCTAGAAGCTGGGACTACAAACGTGTGCCACCACGCCCAGCTAATTTTTTTTGTATTTTTAGTAGATAAGGGGTTTCGCCATGTTGGCCAGGCTGGTCTCGAACTCCTGACCTCAAATGATCCTCCCGTCCAGGTCTCCAAAGTGCTGGGATTACAGGCATGAGCCACCGCGCCCAGCCTAGAATACCTCATCTCTGATTACGATACAATAAATGCAGGAAAGATAAAAGTTGAAACAAAGAAAAGCCCTGAACCACTTGGAAGTTTTTCAACTTTCTCTTTACCCACTCAGGGATCAAAATGAAGGTCAGACCCACACCTGGAACACCCAGAAGGTGAGTGACATAAACATGGAACCGGGGCGGTTCAGTCCCATCAAAGCTGGGTCACAACCCTTGAGAAGCATCAACTAAGCATTCAATTGAATAAAGCCAGAAATGGAATAAAACAAGTTTCAGAAGATCAGAAGAGGGGCCGTGCTTGGAAACAACAGAAATTACTCAGTAGAGCCAAACCTCTGTAATAAAGCCAAATACACCATCTCATTCAAGACGACGAATCTCAGTAAACTCAGGACAGGTGGATTCCGGCATTAAAAATAGTAAATGTGGCACTATGGACTGAATATGTCCTCCCCAAATTTATTTATTTTTTCTTTTGAGACGGAGTCTCGCTTTGTCACCCAGGCAGGAGTGTGGTGACGCAACATCAGCTCACTGCAACCTCTGTCTCCTGTGGTTGAAGCGATTCTCCTGCCTCAGCCTCCCAAGTAGCTGGGATTACAGGCGCTGACCACCACGCCCGGCTAATTTTTGTGTTTTTAGTAGAGACAGGGTTTCACCACCTTGGCCAGGATGGTTTTGAAGTCCTGACCTTATGATCCACCCACCTCGGCCTCCCAAAGTGTTAGGATTACAGGCGTGAGCCATCGAGCCTGGCCGTGCAATTTTTTTTTTTTTTTTTTTTGTAGAGATAGGGTCTCTGTGTTGCCTAGGCCTCCCAAAGCGCTTGGATTACAGGTGTGAACCACTGCACCCAGCAGTCCCCCAAATTCCTACGTTGAAGCCCTAACTTCCAGTGTGGCTGAACACGGAGGTGGGCCTCTAAGAAAGCAGTTAAATGAGGTCAGCCGGGTGCGGTGGCTCACACCTGCAATCCCAGCACTTTGGGAGGCCGAGGCGGGCAGATCATCTGAAGTCAGGAGATTTGAGATCAGCCTGGCCAACATGGTGAAGCCCCATCTCTACTAAAAATACAACAATTAGCCAGGCATGGTGGCAGGTGCCTGTAATCCCAGCTACTCGGGAGGCTGAGGCAGGAGAAATGCTTGAACCTGGGAGGTTGCAGTGAGCTGAGATTGTGCTATTGCACTCCAGCCTGGGTGACAAGAGCAAAACTCCGTCTCAAAAAAAAAAAAAAAAATTGAGGTTTTTTTTTTTTTTTTTGAGACAGAGTTTCGCTCTTGTTACCCAGGCTAGAGTGCAATGGCGCAATCTCGGCTCACCGCAACCTCACCTCCTGGGTTCAGGCAATTCTCCTGCCTCAGCCTCCTGAGTAGCTGGGATTACAGGCACGCACCACCATGCCCAGCTAATTTTTTGTATTTTTAGTAGAGACGGGGTTTCACCATGTTGACCAGGATGGTCTCGATCTCTTGACCTTGTGATCCACCCGCCTCGGCCTCCCAAAGTGCTGGGATTACAGGCTTGAGCCACCGCGCCCGGCCCAAAAATTGAGGTTTTAAGTGTGGGGTCTGATCAGATCAAATTAGCATTGCGGCCGGGCGCGGTGGCTCATGCCTGTAATCCCAGCACTTTGGGAGGCCGAGGCAGATGGATCAACTGAGGTCAGGAGTTCAAGACCAGCCTGACTAACATCGTGAAACCCCATCTGTACTAGAAATACAAAAATTAGCCGGGCGTAGTGGCAAGCACCTGTAATCCCAGCTACTCAGGAGGCTGAGGCAGGAGAATCGCTTGAACCCGGAAGGCAGAGGTCGCAGTGAGCTGAAATCACGCCACCACACTCCAGCCTAGGCAACACAGCAAGACCCTGTTTCAAAGTAAATAAAATTAATTAATTAATTTCTTAAAAAATTAGCATCCTTGTAAGAAGAGATACCAGACTAGGCATCGTGTCTCATTCCTGTAATCCCACAGCTTTGGGAGGCTGAAGAAAGAGGATCACTTGAGGCCCACGGTTCAGAAACAGCCTGGGCAATATAGCAAGATTCTGTCTCTACAAAAAAACAAAAACAAAAAAAGTTGACACAGCGGTACATGCCTATAGTCCCAGGTGCTTGGAGGCTGCGGCCAGAGGATCACTTGAGCCCAGGAGTTTGAGGTTGCAGTGAACTGTGTTGGCCGCTGCATTCCAGCCTAAGCAATAGAGACCCTGTCTCAAAAAAAAAAAGACACCAGAGAGCTTTCTCCACACCTGTTCGCACCCCACTGAGCACAACAGTGAAGCCCTGTGAGGACACAGAAGGTGGCCTTTGCCACCTTTGTGAGGAGGGACTCACAAAGAACCAAATCAGCTGGTCCTTGAACTTGACTTTGGACTCAGCCTCCAGAAGGGAGAGAACACACATTTCTGTTGTCTGCCCTGCCGCCCCATGCCTGTGGTACTTGGTAACAGCAGCTCAAATATAACAACGAGGATGTGCGGGCGGATGGCCAGGTGGGCGGGAGGAAGGTTCAGGAACTAGGGACACTGTCCGGGCCGACGCCAAGGTCAAAGTCAAGGAGTTCTCTGAATATCCAAAAAGCCATGGTTCTCACTCTGGCTGCTTTTCACAATCACCTTGGGAGCTTCAAAAAAACACTAACTCCTATGTGCGCCCTCCAGACTGAACGAATTAGAACCTGAAGGTACAAGCCAGGCAGTGGTACTTTAAAGAGCTCCCGGAGTATTCTCATGTTTAGCCAGAACTGACAGCACTGCCCCCATGGGTCAATATCTTCCTAGCTTAAGACAAACCAGGCTGGGTGCAGTGGGGCTCACACCTGTAATCCCAGCACTTTGGGAGGCTGAGGTGGGCGGGTCACTTGAAGTCAGGAATTTGAGACCCAGCCTGGCCAACATGATGAAACCCTGTATCTACTAAAAATACAAAAATCAGCTGGGCATGGTGGCGCATGCCTGTAATTCCAGCTGCTGGAGAGGATGAGGCATGAGAATTGCTTGAACCTGGGAGGCAGAGGTTGCAATGAGCCGAGATTAGGTCACTGCACTCTAGCCTGGGCAACAGAGCAAGATTCCATCAAAAAGAAAAAAAAAAAAAAAGACACATCAATGTTTTATCCAAATACATGAAAAATTCAGCCAGGCAGAGCAGTGCACACCTATAATCCCAGCACTTTGGGAGGCCGAGGTGGGTGGATCATTTGAGGTCAGGAGTTCGAGA